TTTTGTAGTGGCTCAGAATATTGCTGTGCTATTTAATCATTTTCTCCATATTGCAGTACAATAGCAGGGCATGATTGCTACTGTTTAAATTGTTAAATTCAAGACTGATAACATTCTTAAGTTCAAAAGAACATAGTTATTTAAAAATCCTCAATGGTATTTTTATAGGTGCACATTTCCTAATCATCTCTGTATTACTGAGCTTTTACCTCCCAGCTTAATATGTTTGTTATGATAGAAATGATACAAGATCAATTTTTTCCTCTAAAACTCAGCACAAAATCTATATCTCCCAGACTACCCAGGCAGCATTTAACAGCAAATTCTGACTAAAGAATTCTTTATTGGAAGACCTAAATGAGCAAAAAAACTGCATTTCTCAATGTGGTATCAAAGAATTTACATAAACCACTGAGATGAACTTGGCTGATAAAAAAATATCATCATGAAAATAAATGGTCTGTCTACACAAGATATGGAGGGGGATATGGGGAGAATCTGGGTAGCGGCCCAATAAAAGTTCATTTATTTATTTATAGCGTCCCTCAACATAACATGTTATATTGAATTTTGTAGTGTTTTAATATCCTGCTTTACCCTGGTTAATGCACAGTACTTCCTGGTGTGGCACATAGGCAACTCTTGGAGAAACTGACTGGACCGTTCTTATATGAAAGACATGACCAGCTGTAGGTAGTCCTCAAATTACAAGCAGGACTGGGACCAGAGTTCCCATTGCTAAGCAAGGCAGTTCTTAAATGAATCACACCTGATTTTATGACCTTTTTTGACACAGTTGTTAAGCGAATCACTACAGTTTTTAAGGCAGGGGTTCTCAGCCTTGGCAACTGTAAGATTTGTGGACTTCAACTCCCAGAATTCTGGGAGTTGAAGTCCACAAGTCTTAAAGTTGCCAAGGTTGAGAACCCCTGTTAAGGGAATAAAGCAGTCATTAAGCGAATCCAGCTTCCTTTCATAGACTTTGCTTGTCAGAAGCCAGCTGGGAAGGGCTCCTGTCTTCAGGATTTAAATTAAGTGGGAGGAAAAGTAAAAGAAGTACACTCGGGAAGCAGGAGTAAGATTATGAGAAATTAATCTGCTGAATTCATTATTCATTTACTTATTTAGTCTTTCAGGTTTTTTGTCTTTCATTTTACTTATTGAATACTTAATGTGGCCTATTTAAAATGTAGACCAGGAATCCTCAAACTTGGCCCTTTTATGACTTGGGGACTTCAATTCCCAGAATTCCTCAGCCAGCATGGCACGCTGGCTGAGGAATTCTGGAAGTTGAAGTCCCCAAGTCATAAAAGGATCAAGTTTGAAGACCCCTGATGTAGACCATTAAAATCCAGTAAAAACATCAGGATATATTACCCATAGCCGAGGAAGGTCTTGACATTGGTTTCTGAAGATAGGCAAGTGTGGGGTTCAAAAGAAGTTGCACACCATAAGAATAGCAGGAGAGAAGGCTTCCTACTGTTCCCCCAACCAAGAGGCTGTTATTTTAGGTCTTTAATATCCAGAAAGGTTCTTTTGAAATTATGTGTTTCCTCTGATAATCAGCCCTCCTGCTTTAAAAGTTGAAAAACAGTACTATTAATTTATTCCAAAATATAAGCTCTTGAGATCCATCAAGACTTACTGACTTGCCTAACCTGACCCTGACCCTGCCCTCTGAATTTAGGAGAAAGAAGTGCTATTGATTTGGTAATACTTGGCAAGCTTCCTGTCATTAATTTTCCATATGTTTGCTTTGCCCAACCCAGTTCAGAAATATTGGCATTTGCAGCACTCAGAATTTTCAACCACCGTGCCCAGAGCTGCTGAGAATTCTGGGAATTGCAATGCCAACACATCTTGGGAGTATGGTTTCAGGAAAGTGATTTATATCTATGCTAAAAGTGTGATCATACACTTTGTTTTTGCCAAAGGATACTGGAACTGATGGTAATTTAGTTCGAGATGCAAAATTTAAGAGTCACCATAAACAGTTCTAGCCTAATGAGGAATTGGGGTTTTTTTTCTAAATAGCTTGTTCATCCTCATGAAGTTCATGTATTCTTTCCCTCTGGATATAAATGTCCTATATTTGTTAAAAACAAACAATTTAACTGCAATCGGCACAAAGTACATGATAAAGTTTGCATATAAGCAGCTCTGCATTTGGAAGTGCCAGACACATCTGTCTGTCACTTTGACTAGAGAGCTGATAATGCACATGGCAACTTTTAAAACTAAGAGTACAAAATGCATAAATATATGCATAGATATATATATGCCAAGGTTACACCAACATTTTGTCCTTTTAATAAAGAAGAGAAAGAATGTTTAAAGCAAATGACATTCAAAGAATGAGCTGTGTGAAAAGAAGCAGAGTTAATTCTCACTAATTCTCTAGAATTTTCTTCTATTAAATAAACTGTAGCTTTGTGTAGCTTTTATCAGGCCATTGATAAAAAAAATCTATCCTAGAAAATAAAAGTTGGAGCTTAATGCAGGCATAAAAATTAAGTAAAATGTTAAATATCTGTATCAGAAATTATCTTGCCACTTGTACTTCAGTGCCACATTTTGTGTAAATATCATCAGTAGAAGATGACTCAAGGGATTTGAAGAGTTATATATTTGAAAAAAGAGGAATATTCATAGAGATACAAGTTAGAGGCAGGAATTTTCACTGAGACAGAGTAAAATCTGGTAGAAAAACATAATGTCTTTGAGCTATCAAACTTTTGCTTAGCTCAAGAAGTATATAAATTTCTATAACACTTCTAGTGTTAGGCTATCATTCTATCATTTCTTCATTTTAATCATCTCAACAGCCTTGCAGAGAAACAAAAAAATGAGCAGTTTGGTCAGGACAGTCAAAACCTTTCTTGACTAAATAAGAATTTGAACTTTGATCTCCTACCTTTCTGGTGTGTGCAAGAGCATCTAGCAACATGGAAGAACTATATTGGTTGCATATAAATGTGTATGACTCTATAAAAGCGAGGGTTGCTTGGATTACAACTAATCTAAATTAACTTCTTGAGGATTTCAATGTTCCTGGCACTCTTTTGTCACATAAGAAATGGCATCCTAGAATTTGTAGAGATTAGTCATAAAAAGATGTGATAGAAAACTTTTTGACATAATAGTCCTGAATGGATACTTTTCTAGGTTCGGATGCCAAAATAAAATGTCCTTGTTTACACTTAATTTCATGAAAAAAACCACAGTTGATTATTTTTTAAAACCATAAAGACATGGTTCATCCAACATTCTAAACCAAAATCATTCAATCATATTTGATTTAATTTATATAATAGGAATCCATCCAATCTGTTTAGATATCAAAAGCTAAATTACTTTATAAAAGATATTAACAGATCGGTATCCTTGGAGTATTGGTTTTAATGCATTTTTTAAAAAAAAAAATATTAAAAATCCATAAATTTTATTTGCATTATGAATACTGCAGGCCATTTTTGTATATGCAATCCATGCTTTTAGTTATGTTGCTTAGAACTTAGTTTGCTTAGAATTTATCTCAGAGTGGGAATCTTTTCACTGTATTATAAATATATAATGTGTATTTTTAAACTTTCCCTTTTAACCACTTTGTAATCCTCAAATACCTGTTTTCTTATTCTAGCATTATAAAGGCAAGCATGTTGGTGGAGCCATAATAGGGGCCAAATCAGTTTTCGCAAAGCTTTTGGCTAATGAATGTTTGCACTTTCCAAGAAGACTTTGTTGTCTTTAGTCATAGAAGTTACATATTTGCATCATCTCTACAGTTTCCAAAAATCCTTACTAAAGGCTTCTCTTGAATCTGTAAATATTCCTATTGTAGTCCTTCAAAATAATAATATTCATACCTAGTTCCTGTTGTAAAGGAATTAGCTCCCTACTCCTGCCTCCCTCCAGATTTTTGCCTCATATATAAGAGCAAGCAGCTGTGCCTCAGATAATGGTGTAGCAATTCCTCCAAAAGAGATTGCATGCAAAACCCTCTGGAGCAAAACACGAGGAGCAGATGTCTGGAATGCTGCAGTTTTAGGGGCCTGAAAGCCTTGACTCAGCTTGAGTGAAAAATACACAGTGGAATGTTCTGAGTCAGTGAAATGTTTTACGTAGACCTCATCAAGAGAAAGTACTGTACCGTTTAAAAATAAACAGAGAACAGCTCTTACTTCTTTTGCAGTTCTTCCACCTAGTGGGTGTGTTCTGTAAGTGCAAGATCATTTTTTGTGTTCTTAGAAGATAAAACTCCACAGGGAATATGAATCAAAAAATATTTATTGGAGGGGGAGGGGTTGAAATTAGAAACTTGGCTGGTTTGACTTACGTAGTCTGCTAAATGGTTGCTGTATCTCCAGAGTAATTAAATAGTGGTTGTGGCAGCCTAGGCATATTGCAGATGGAGAAATTGACCTCCAAATTATCTTTCTAAACACATGATTAAATGTCACAGGCAAAGTGAGAATTATTCTTGTTACTTACTCAGATTAAATTCCACATGCTTCCCAAGGATCCTGACTTTTTTTGAAGTGCCACTTAATTAAAGTTTTCCCAGCAACGGAGATCCTGACCCAGCTAAACTGAATAAAAATCAAATATTGTGTATGTAATTTCTGTTCAAAAGTACTGTATACTTTTTCAAAGAATATGTTTAGTAATAGCTGATGTACTTTATTCTAATTGGAAAGTCTGCTTTAGAGAAACATCGCAAAATTGATAATTATGCACTCCTGAAACACTTTTGACATCCAGGAGATTCCTAGACCAAATACTATCTGGCAAGTGTTAGAAATCTCTTTGTCCTTGAATCATTTGCTGAACGTAGTGTTTAGCTCATTCAATTACATGAAAATATAAAGACAAAATAATTGATTAGTGGAGGCATTTTCCAGTGCTGCTAATATACTAGAGGGGCTTGGAAAAAAATAGCAATGTTGAAGGTAATGCTGGCAAATTCCCTATTTTTTGTTTTGTTTTGTTTTTCATTGCAGGTCACTGCCAAGGGATTTGGTCCGCTGTTGCAGTTTGCTTACACTGCTAAGCTATTACTCAGCAGAGAAAACATACAAGAGGTCATCCACTGTGCCGAATTTCTACGTATGCACAACCTGGAGGATTCCTGCTTCAGCTTCCTTCAGACCCAGCTGCTGAACAATGAAGATGGCCTGTTCCTGTGCAAAAAGGATCTCACCTATCAGCGGATGCATGAAGATGAGAACTCGGAGGGAGAAGAGGAAGAAACTATGGAGTCAGAGACTTCAAAGATATCTTGTTCAAGAGACAGAATGCACTCAGAGCCCTTTGACTTTGAACCCGCCACGTCTGGAGCCAGTAAGGAGGAAGGAATGTTACCAGACTCGGAAATACTGGTGGATGACGGCAAGGATAGTTTGGATAAAGAAGTAGTAACACGGTACCCCAGGTATAAGAAATACCAGCTAGCTTGTACCAAGAATGTCTACAACACATCACATGTTAGTACCTCAGGTTTCACAAGCACATTCAATGAAAAAGGTTCAGGTGATGACCTCAAACCAGAACTTGCTGTTGGGCAAATTAAAAGTGAGCCTAGGAATGAGGAAAACGATGAAGACAACATCACACTTTGCCTCTCTGGAGAGGAGACTAGTGTCAGGGATAAAGAAGGGGATGTTGAAATGGACCGAAAGCAGCCAAGTCCCAATGGAGCTGGCAGGTCTAAAAACAGTTCCTCTCCTTCCTGCCTAAGATCTTTCTTCAACCGAACAAAAACTATAGACTTAGATGGCTTCCCAACTACTTCCCAACAGCACTTTGCCAGAAATCCAGCATGCCCTTTTGACAAGGGGACAACTCAGGGTGACCATAAAGCTGATTATGTCCCTTTTGTGGGCAGTTATGGGCTCTCCCAAGCTGTTCAGAAGGATGCTTCCAGTTTTACAGTGGGATCACCTCTAAGAAGTCCTGGCTTTGTTGAAGGCCTCTGTAAGCAGGAAGGTGAGGTGGACAGGAGGACCGTTATATTCTCTTCAAATGTTTGTGACCAAGTAAACCCTTCGGTGCATTCATATTCTGGCATGAGCAGCTTGGATAAAGATCTCACCGAGACTGTGCCAAAAGGCCTGTGGGCAGGAAGCAGCCAATCTCTTCCCAGTTGCCAGACCTATGCTCATATTGGACAGACAGCTGACCATTTCCCAGGACGGATGCGGCCCAACACCAGCTGCCCAGTGCCAATTAAAGTTTGTCCTCGGTCTCCTCCCCTGGAAACTAGAACAAGGACCTCCAGTTCATGTTCCTCCTACTCTTACGCAGAGGATGGCAGCGGTGGTTCTCCCTGTAGCCTGCCTCTGTGTGAGTTTTCATCTTCCCCCTGTTCTCAAGGAGCTCGATTCCTGGCCACTGAGCATCAGGAGCCGAGCATGATGGGAGATGGAATATACAGCCAAGTCAGACCCCAGATAAAATGTGAGCCATCCTATGGAACAAACTCTAGCGATGAGTCTGGATCGTTCTCTGAAGCAGACAGTGAGTCATGTCCTGTGCAAGACAGAGGACATGAGGTAGGGATCTGTGATAAGTACACCTGCTAACACTTCTTGTGACCCATACAGAAAGTCATTATTAACCTAATGGCCTTCTTTGTATCCAAAATACAGAGAATAGTCACTTTTGTCCAATATTCTATTGATGATGGAGTCAAGCTCATTGATTACTGGAAATATGTCTGAGAGAGTAAGAAGCCATCATATAGAAAGGTTCCATGAAGGCTTAAAATTGCTTGATCTCTTGATTATAGGGTAACTGTAGAGATAGGGAGTACCTCGTAGCAGGTTTGCTTCTCTCCCTGCCCACCATCCACTTGAGGCATAAAAATGTCCCTGTCCTTTTTAAGTTTTGGACCAATCGTCATTAGCATTAGTCATTGCATTCAGGTTTTTGTTAACAATATTTCATTCATACCAGCTTATCTACCAATTCAGTATCCTGATTGGGTATTAGCTGTAATTTGCAGACTTTTGGAACAAAAATAAATTCTGATCAGAGTGATCTAAAATGTCAATAGAAGTGAATGTCCATGCAAGGTGAGGAAGGGAAGAGGGAGCAGTTTTCTGCTCTGGGTACAACAAGTGCATTTACCTGATCATCATCTTTGTTTTACTTATGTTACTTTTTGTGTACTTTGTTCTATAGTCTTTTTAGAGAAAGAAAAATGAGAATTGATCATATACCTTAAGTCAGTGGTTCTCAACCTTTTTAATGCCGCAACCCCCCAGCTGGTCGTAAGTCGAGGACTACTCAACTGGTTGTAAGTCAAGGACTACCCAACCGGTTGTAAGTTGAGGACTACCCAACCGGTCGTAAGTCGAGGACTTTCCCTGCCCTGGAGCGCCGCACATGCGTGGTGCCGCCCCCTGCGCCGGCCGAGGCATAGCTGGCAAGGGGCCACCAGTTGGCCCAGCCCAAGGGAGGTAAGGCAGCAACCCTCCCTGCGCCCATCGGCCTCCCACCCCTGGCCCTCTTTTACTTACATTTTTAGTAGTTGCTCAGCAGGGAGGGGTGGAAACTTCCAGACAGCTCACCTTTGCTGCAGACAACTGCACCGTTTGCAGAATGGGATTTTTGGCAGGCTCAGCAGAGCAGAGACAGCCTGGATAATTCCTATTGGCTTTTGAAAGCCAATAGAATTAGACTCTATTCAAGAGAGTCTATTCTATTGGCTTTCAAAAGCCAATAGAATAAAAGGGAGTAGCACAGCTAAGGAAAAGGGGGAAAAAATGGCGGACTGCGTTGTTTGGCGACTCCTGTGAAATAGTCGTTCGACCCCAAATGGGGTCCCAACCCACAGGTTGAGAACCGCTGCCTTAAGTCATACCCTTGATCTCTTTGGTTTCCTAAAGTCATATGACTCTCTAATAATTACCCAGTTAAGCTTTTCATCTGTAATGCCTGTGATACTGCAACCAGCGAAAAACCTCTTCAAAGGGTTAATAAGCAACCGGAGAGAAATTGAGTGAGCAGGGGGAAAAGGCATAAGGGACATATACAAAACTGATAATATCTGCACAGATGTGTTAGCCAGCCTGCTATTATTCTTATCAGCGTGACATCCATTCCTTCAGACAATTCATTGGGGGATAAATGTGCAGTTACTGCTTGTTCATTGTGAAATACTGACTCTCCCTCAAGTAAGCTTGAATTATTGCAAATTTTAAAACTTACACTGCTGATACTGTGGAACACATTTAGGTACCATTAATTATCTGCTTTGCAGGCTCAATTGATGAAACAGTTACTGGTCCGTCATCTTATTTTGATCACAGTGTACAAAACTGTTACCAATTTGGCTTCAGAAAACGTAGCATTTTTATATGTGGTTCCTTTATTTCTCACCAACTAATTCCTATAGCAGTGGTAATAACTATCATATATGTATATGTTTTAGAATGTAAGAACCACGGTAAATGAGAGTATTGAAAGATTTTGTTTATCTCTCTTGCAAAATTTGGAAAAGAACATAAGAACTTTAAGGTATCAAAATCTTAGGGGAAATGTGCTATGACCACTCTGACAAAATGCTGAAGCTCATTTATGCGAAATTTAATATAGTACATTGATGGCGAACCTTTTAGAGACCGAGTGCCCAAACTGCAAGCCAAAACCCACTTATTTATCGCCGGATGCCAGGTGAGCGTGGCCCACTGGGTGGGCGTGGCTGTGGTGGTCATGACTGGGTGGGTGTGGCCAAGGTAGGCGTGATCACCTCGATGTTGCTCCTGAGGAGGGATGCCTGTGGGGGCCAGGCAGGGGAGATCTAGGGGGTTTATCTGTAATCATTGAAGCACTAGCTAACTTCTTTTTGGTATTTTTTTGGCTTTCTTGATTATCCAGTAGGCATTAGCAATAATGTCTCACATTCCTTGGCTTTTTCTGAAGTCAGCTTGAACAACTAGCAACTCTTTTTCCATGTAGGCTTCTAATTGCATTGGATGATCTTAGTTATTATTTTGCTAATATGTGAAATTAAAGATATTGTGCAATAGTTTATACACTCTATTAAATCTCCCTTTTTGGCATTAGAATCATTTGGCTACTGTGTCATTCTCCATATTTCTTGAGATAGCTTGGTTAGAATCTTAATTGATTTTTCTCTGTTGCTTGCAATATTTCAGTGGGTATTCCATTAATTCCTGTAGCCTTGTTAATGATTGGAGTGCTGATCTAACAACTAGTACTAGAGGTTCTTGTAAAATAAGGAATATATTCTAAGATATCTTGGATGTTGTCATCTCTACTATAGAGTGTTTCATTATATGCCTCCCATCTTGCTTTGATGTCCTTTGAGCTAGTTATCTGTCGATTGGCATCCTTTAGCATACCAACCTGAGATCATTACCGCTCAAGTTCAGAACATTTTGAAAGACCTTCTTATTTTTACATCTGTGTCCATCTTCAATATCTTTACAGAATTTGTTGTAATATTGCTTTTTGTCTTTAACAGCTCTCTGAAACTGTTAAGTTCTTTTCTGAGAAAGTTGTTCTTCTTAGCTTTGACTTCTCTTCTCCTCTTGGCAATTTCCACAGTTTGCTTTCTTCTCTTTCTTAATTTTTGTCAGTCTCTTTCCACAGTGGTGGGATTCAAATATGTGAACAACTGTTTCTCTGTGTGGATGCTGCTTCCGGAAGTCCATTCTGGGCCTAGGCAACAAAAAATTAGCTACCAGTTCTGCCGAAGTGGTGTGAATCAACTGAATCTCAGCACTGTCTTTCCATATGAATCCTTAATTACTTCTTTAAATTCATCCCATAATTCCTCTGCTTCTTTTTCAATGAGGTTCAGGACTTCAAAGCAATTCATGATCTTGAAAATGAGAGCATGCAAAATCACCTTATGCGAACTGCCTGGCTTTTTTCTTCATCTGTAGTTTAACTTGGAGTTAAGCTTGGAGTTAAGTTCATGATCTGTTCTGCAGTCAGCACCTGCCTTTGATCTGTAAATGAACTCCTCGATCTTCTTTTATCAATAACATAGTGAAATATATTTTTATATACTGTATTCCATCTAGTAATGTCCATGCATAGAGGCTTGATTTTGGTTGTCTGAAGACAATGTTAGCTATGAAGAAATCATTGGAGTGGCAGAAATTGATAAATCGGACTCCTATTTCATTTTAATTCCCGAAGCTATACAATCCAACTACATTTTTGTCTTTCATGTTTCCACTTAGTCATTCCAGTCTCCAATCACAAGCAGCACATCTTGTTGACATGTTCTTTCGATTTCAAATTGAACTTAATCAACTCATCCACCTCCTCTTCCTCTGCACCATCAGTAGTTGGAGCCTAAATTTGAGTGATCACCATATTAAAGGGTTGTCCATGAAGTCAGTCATTATTATTTGATCATTGATTGCATTGTAGCCAAGTACTGTTCTTGCTATGTCCTTCACAATTATAAAAATTTCTTCTTTGCTTTTCATGCTGTAATGGGAGGCATAGTGACTCAGCGGTTAAGACATTGGCTCGTTGGCTAGAAAGCCAGCAGCCCAAGTTTGAGACCTGAGCACATGTGACTGTGAACTTCCATCCTCGCCCCAGCTTCTGCCAACCTAGCAGTTCAAAAGCATGCAAATGCGAGTAGATAAATAGGGACCACTTCAGTGGGAAAATAACAGCACTCCATGACATTATGCTGGCCACATGACTTTGGAAATGTCTTTGGACAGCGCTGACTCAATGGCCTTGAAATGGAGATGAACACTGTCTCATACTCTGCAACAGAGTAAAATCCACAGGGACTCCTTTACTTTTTTTTATCTTTCATGTCCTAATAATCCATGTGATCTTCTGACTGAAGGTATCTGATCCCAGTCCATTAACTTTATAATTGTTTCATTTCATCTTTCACTGTGTTAAGCTTTCTTGTGCCTGTGCTTCCTACATTCCACGTTTCTACTATAATTCTGTCTTTGCAGCTTTGGATTTCTTTTCTTGTAATGGCAACATCAGTGACTAGATGTCCTGAAGATTTTAATCTAACCATGTCATAAACACCATTAGTACTCTTGAAAGAGCCTCTTCTTCAATAACATGTTAAGTGCCATCCAATCTGAAAAGCCCATCATCCATGATGTGGCAACACAGCGGGGGGTGTGTGTGTTAGGGGATAAAGTAAATACTAGTATTAATAGAGCTGTCACCCACAAATACAAAATAGATAAATTTCTTTTTTAAAAAAATAATACGACCTGTTTTTTAAACTTTTGGATCGAGTCCCAGATACTAGTAATACTCAGTAAAACATTGTCCATTTCTGAATACAGTGAGGTTTTTGTGTAAATTGGCACATTGTGAAATAGGTGAAAGGTTTCAATTTTGCTTACAGTTTATGCTGTGTGAACCAAGACGCTACAGAAACATGGTCTAAAATGGGTGCGTATAACTATATCAAAAGACTGAAATGGGATTCTTAATGTTTTTGTGTTATAAAACAAACTTACAAAATGGAAATACTATTTTTCTGCGTAGCTTTTTATTAACCATAGAGTAAAGGTATAATTGG